ATATTTCAACCTCAATTTACAGCAGATTTTTCAAGTGAATGGACTGGGAATGTCTGAGGCAGCACCTCTCTGACGTCTGCTTTCAAATCCTCTTGAGAATTTTCAAGGCTTCTAACTCCCAAATTGGCTCTTTATAGAATGAAAATACAAGCTCTCCAACGCTGGGGGTGGCCTTTTACGTGTGGAGGCCTGACTTATTTCCCCCCACCCCTCAGCAGGAGGCACATCTATGATCCTGGGGCATGGCAAGCTTGTGCCTCATATCCTGTCACCCACCCAAGTTTTTTTCAGATGAGTTGTTGGCATCCACAGGCGTGGACTTTGCGTTTCCAGATGAGGTGCCCTTTCTCTAACAGTTTCCCCTGTTAAAACACTTCAGGTCCATGGAGGTGGCTCAGTGGGTAAACGCACCTGCCACACAAGCCTAAATTCCCTGGTACCCATGGTGGAGGTAGAGAGCCAGCTCCTTCAAGTTGTCCTCTAACCTCCACACACATACTGTGGCACTGGTGTGTTTTGCTTCTCTGTGTGTGTGTGTGTGTGTGTGTGTGTGTGTGTGTGTGTGTGTGTGTGTTGCACCACATCTGAGTACTGCCTGCAGAGGGCAGTCAGAACCCATAGAGGTGCTAGTAATAGAACCCAGTGCTCTTAACCACTGAACCATCTCTCTAGTCACCCTGTGGCACATGTGCACCTATGCACAAACACTCAAACACACACACACACACACACACACAAACACACACACACACCTAATAATACTTAATAAAATGAAAATATTAAGCAGTCACAAATAACAAAAGATTAGGGCATGAATATATACTAATGTTCCCTAGTTATCTCTCAGTTTAGCGAGAGAAGATGTGGCTTCTAAAATGGCACTATGTATTTCTCAACAGAAAGTCACAACCACTCAGTTACTTCCGGGTTGAATAACATTACCATCCAATCACACTGTTTATACCAAGGACTGCTGGTGTACATCGATTATAGTAAAACTTAGCATTGATTTTGCTTTCTTAAATTTTATGTTTAAAAAAAATAAGGAAGTTGGGTCACCACTTTGTGAATTTTATTTCTGAACTCTATTTGCCTGTGAAGCCCTCTTCTGCTGTTGGATTCTGGAGCATGTGTTTCAGGATCAACCCACTGCTAAAATGTAAAATAATCCCCCTGACCAAGTAAAAGTCAAGAGAGAAGGCCAGTGGGTTAAAGTGGTGAAGCCTCTGGTGTGTATTTCCCTAGCACACAAAGTGAATCCTGGCCTTTTGGCCTCAAGAAGAACCAGGTTTTACAGCAAACAATAATTCTCCCCTGTGTTTTGGAAGCCGTTGGTTTTTTTTTTGTTTGTTTGTTTGTTTGTTTGTTTTTTGTTTTTTGTTTTGTTTTGTTTGTTTTAATGTTACAATGAGGAGTTGTTTAAAAGCTGTTTATTAAGCCCATAAATAAGATGTCATTTGGTAATTAAGTGCAGTTATGTTGCAAATGTGCTCACTATTCCACTCAGTAGAAAACACCAATGCAATTAGGAAAACAAGCTGAAAGGTTGGACACCTGAGCTCAGAATCACATACTCCCAGTCCTCATGTTGTGCTACCAGGAGACATCTAGGTACAGGTTTTTCTGTTTGTATTGTGGCTTTGAAGTATGAATCAGCTGGGACTTCTATTTCTAAATATACTTGTATATCTTACAAATCATTGATGCTACTGTTGGCGCTACTGGTCAAAGGAAGAATCAGTCTCTCTCTCTCTCTCTCTCTCTCTCTCTCTCTCTCGTGTGTGTGTGTGTGTGTGTGTGTGTGTGTGTGTAGGCCAGGGGCTAACATTGGGTGTCTTTATCTACTGATCTCCATGCTGGGTTTTGAAACAGGGTTTTTCACTCAACCTGGTGGTCACTGCCTGGACAGTGAGCTCAGAGGAGCTGCCTGTCTCTGCACCCACCTCCCCTCGCCCTGAGAAATGGGGAGTACAGCCACATCTAGCTTTTTGAATGGATGCAGAGGAATTGAACTCAGGTCCTCCTGCTTGCATAGAAAGTACCTTAACCATCCCATGTCCCCAGGCCCTAGGGAAACATTTCAATAGCGCTGAAGATAAGCTCCTTCTGGGCATGAGGTGACTCGCCTTCATGCCAGTACATGAGTAAAACACACAGATCACATAGCTGTGTCCTTCTGTGCTCTTGGTCTGAACTGTATCATGTTCCTTGTCTCCAGAGAGACAGGCTGGTCCTCAGGAGTTATGGAAGAGTTCACCTGAGCAGGTGCTCCATGGGACATGAGGAAGGGTGATGACATTAGTGGAAGGTGAGAGTGACTGAGAAAGGGTTGTTGAGATGGCAGTTACCCACCAACGCTACCTCGCAGTCTTCAATCCCAGGTGCACTTTCCGAGAAATGTCGGTAAGCTGATGAGCTTTTGGATGCTCTCCCTGTCTTTAGCCTTCTAGTCCTTCAACTTGTGGCTGGATCAGCACCAGGCCCTAAAGAAGGCCAGGAAGATGTCCTGGTGTAGCCAGTGGCAGAAATGTTAGTGATGTTTGTAAAACTGATGATGCACTAACAGAACAGATGAATCCATGTTCTCATGAGTCCGGCTGTAAAAGATTTACTTCTGATCTGTTTTCAATGTGCAGAGACATGAGTGTGTGCTTGAATGGCACCTCTAATTGCTGTTTTCTCCTAATAACAAAATGCTGCTATGAATAGCTAGAGATTAAGCAGCTAAGATGATCTGCACACCCTACGCTTGTTACCTCATCTTCACAAAGAGAAATGCACAGCTCCTAAGACTTTATTATCCATTATGTAGACTCATAAAGACCTATCGTGTGTGTCCTTACTATGCTCTTCAGAGTCGCTGTCATCTGTAGCCCATCGCTATCTCACTTGTTGTTATTGTGAGGCTTATGAAAGGTGATGTGGGACTCCACGCCTACGTGAGGAAAGCCATACAGTGAAAATGAGACTGCACTGCAGACATGTTGCATAATCAAATTTAATTATTCCAGCTAAATTTTTATCTCTCGCACTGTTCTTTGATGTGGCCACATTCCTAGCATAGCCATGGGGCTGAATATCGGGCATCAATAAGACATGGGAGTAGATTAGTATTGGGCTTGCTTTTAACGTGAAAAGAGATTGGCACTATATTAAATTACAGGATAATGGAAAAATAAAGCAAAGGATAAAAGGACAATAACTTTGTGGCATGGTTAAGTTGGATAACATGGTCTTGTGTGTTAGCTACTGTTTGTTTCCTTTGAAACCTTCATCTTAATTATATTAAGTGTGATGCTCTTTAATGGCTCCTACCCAAGACATCAGGGCTATGACTAGATCCTAGGAGGGCACTTAGAGGGTCCAGCCGTTCTAGTATCAAGGGAACACCTCAGGCTACCATCTTAGAAGCTTTCTTTGGAACCCAATTACCCCTGAGTTGGCAACCATTTGCCATGCAAAGGAGAAGGCCTCTTTGTAGCCCCTTGGGGTTGTACCCTTCCCACCTCTGCAGCCATATGATGGGGTTCTTCTAAGATGTAGCTGTTCACGTCCCAGTGCCTTAGCCCTGACACAGGCCCCTTCCTGGCTCCTCATCTCTGTGTCTGAGCTGGTCTGGACAGTTGCCCTCTGGAGCTAACATGGAGTGTTCTATGCCTACACCTTAGAGTGGCTACTTGGCAAAGTTCTTCCAGACACTTTTCCTCACAGCCATGAGAGGGACAGCTGGGATGAACTTCTGTCTTCTGTCTCTGTGGTTCATGTGTCTGTGGTTAGACAGGGCTCTGCCTGGTCTCTCCATGAACTCTAGGTGGGAATGACCAAGCTAGGATTACCAACTTCGTCAATGTTGTGGTAGGAGAAGAATTGGGGAAGAGACAAAGGGATAACCATGGAGACAAAGGGCAGGTAGGGTCAGAGTGACAGATGACAAAAGTGATGCCCAGTCAGAGACAGACACTTGAGAGTCAAAGTTCCCCTCCTGTTAGAAGCCATTTCCCCTTCCTGTATGTGGGGACACCCAGCAAAATGGAGTTGACTTCATCCACTACATACAGTCATCTCAGAGAGGTTCCAGTCTGGGACGCAGAATGTGGGAAGAACTCAAAAGGGCAGTGTAGGAGTAGTAAGCAGTCAGCAATTATCAGAGCACAGGGTTCTCAGGGTTCCAAGGTCAACTCAGAAAGAGCCTGGGTCAAAGGTCAGTGGGAAAAACAAGCAGGAAGGAAGCTTTTCACAGTGTGCTGGAAGTCATTCTGGTAGATGGGGTTCAGAGGTACCCAGTGGTCCCCAGCTTTGTCATTCATGGAGCAGAGTCTAAGGGAAGAACCAGGCATGGTGATGTCCCTAACCCTAAACTATAGAGTTGGGGACCATAAATCTGCCTCCATGGCTTACCCTTCTGGTAGCATGTGACATTAAACAGCGATTTTATGATTAATTCACTAGTTCTAATACATTACTTCACCAGGAAATGTTACTAATTAAACATCAGATGTTAGTTTTCAAATGTTTTAAGCTAAACCAAAATGCTCCAATATACTTGATCTACAGCTATATTTTTCTGTGCATGTGTGAGTGGGAGGGGGAGAGAGGAAAATAGAGTATGTGTTGTATGGGTGCTTGTTCATGTGTGGGTATGAGTATATATGTATATAACGATATGTATACATGTACGTACATGCATGTAGTAGTCAACTAACAGCATCGGGTGTGGCTCTTCAGGTGCCTTCCAACAATTTTTTGAGGAGTGTTCCTCAATGGAACTGCTTGACTCTACCATCCCAAAGTTGGTGTTACAAGCACATGCCACTGTGCCCCGATGTGGATGCTAGGGTTTGAGCTCAGGTTCTTACCCCTGCCAGCAGTTCACTGACTGGGCTATCTTCTCAACCCATGGTTTTTAAAGATCTTATAGTTTGCCTGTTGAGGGTCTCAGTGCATCTACCTGTTAGGTAACTGTTACTATAGACTAAATCCCATTTCTGTTTTGTTAACAGACCAACAGTACTCATGGTCTCCAACGCAGCACTTCAATGAGGAGAGGTACTCACCCGCACCCAGGAACATGAAAGGGTTAACTGGAAGCCGGAACCAGCCTCAAATATGTGCGGGTCATACCTGTGGCCTGTCACCCCCTGATGACTGCGAGCACCCCCACGATCACATGCACCATGGGCCAGATGTGCGGCAACCTTATCTTCTCAGCCCAGCTGAGAGCTGCCCAATGGACCACCACCGTTGCTCACCCAGGAGCTCCGTCCACTCAGAGTGTATGATGATGCCTGTGATGTTGGGAGACCATGTGTCCAGTAGCACCTTCCCCAGAATGCACTACAGTTCACACTATGACACGAGGGATGATTGTGCCATGTCCCACACAAACACAAAAGTAAATCGCATCCCCGCCAACCTCTTGGACCAGTTTGAGAAACAGCTACCCCTGCACCGGGATGGTTTCCATACACTGCAGTACCAGAGGGCCTCAGCTGCCACAGAGCAGCGAAATGAGAGTCCAGGCAGAATCCGGCATCTGGTCCACTCGGTCCAGAAACTCTTTACCAAGTCTCATTCTTTGGAGGGATCATCCAAGAGCAACATCAATGGGACTAAGAGCGACAGTCGGGTGGATGACCACCACCACAGTCACCATTCTAAACACAGCAAAAGGAGTAAAAGCAAAGAGCGGAAGCCAGAGAGCAAGCACAAGTCTGGTATGAGCAGCTGGTGGAGTTCTGACGATAACCTGGACAGTGACAGCACATACCGGACACCCAGTGTGGCTAACCGCCACCACATGGACCACATCTCTCACTGCTACCCTGAGGCGCTGCAGAGCCCTTTTGGGGACCTTTCTCTAAAGACTTCCAAAAGCAACAATGATGTTAAGTGCTCAGCCTGTGAAGGCTTGGCCCTGACGCCCGACACCAGGTACATGAAACGTAGCTCTTGGTCCACTCTCACAGTGAGCCAGGCTAAGGAGGCCTACCGCAAGAGCTCCCTGAACTTGGACAAGCCCCTGGTCCACCCAGAGATCAAGCCTTCCCTGCGGCCGTGCCACTACCTCCAGGTAAGGCTCAGGTGACTGTGCCCTTGGGCAGAAGGTTTTAGCCATTGCTGCCCATTTGTAGTTTACAAAGGGGATTGTACTGATGTGTCCTGTGCAAGTAAAGTTTGAAGGCATGTTTGCCTCTTTAGATTCCAAAGCAAGCTTATGTGCTTGCTGCTTTCTATACCTCTGTATTGTAGCTAGAACTCTCCACATGAACCCCAGAGACAGAAGGCAGAACTGGTTGTCCCTTTGAGAATTCTATTGCCAAGACATACCATTGTCACATCTTATGTGCATTTGTACTCTTGGTGAAAGCCTGGTAATTCCTTGATGTCCCTCACTTTTATGGGAACTATATAGGTTCCCCCCCTAGATCTTTGGAATTAGAAGTTATTGTAAACAATAACTACCCTGCTAAAACTTTTGGTTGTCTTTACAGACTAAATCTCACAATTGTAATGCAGACTGGCCTTTAATTCAGTGTGTAAACCAAGCTGCATTTGAACTCTCAGTAATCCTCCTGCCTCAGCCTGGTTGGGATTATAAGTGTATACTGCCATGTCTGGCTTAACCTGCCATAACTTTTTAAAGTTTTTATTAGCATATATTAATTTTACATAATAATGGGTGTTGTGATGTTTTCCCACATATACATAATACCATGATATTTTGATCATGTTCATTCCCCCATACTCTTATTGATTTTCTTGTAATTCCTGAGTATAGAATGCAAGGCCAACTATAGTCATCCTGCAATACAATAGATCTCTTGGATGAACTCTTCTGATATAACTGAAATCAAATACCCTCCTATCAATGCTCCCCAGCCCCACCCCAGTCCCTGACACCCACCCTTTATACTCTGCTTCTGTGCATCCAGCTCCTGCGCTTCCATGTTAGGGAGCCTGTGTGGAGTTTGTCTTTCTGAGTCTAGTTTGTTTCCCTAAGTGTAATGTGCTCTAGGCTTGTCCCTGTTGTAAATGCAGGAACTTCTCTCTCCCTGGTGGCTGCACAGCATCTCATGCCGTGTGCATCCCTTCCCCTAGCCACCCACTCACTGATGCACAACAGGCTGACTCCCTGCACTGGCTTCTGTGAACACAGCCACAGTGTCATTAACAGCAAATGGTTAGTGGGTGACCTTGGGGTGACCCTTGAAACACCACTCTGATATAACAACCCATCGCTTGGTGCCAGGGACTTAGCAAAGCAACACAAATATCCTGAACACATAGATGTGTGTGCCTATAGGTCTGCCATTTGTGCAAGATCACTTCTCTCATGTGACAACAGCATTCCTAAGCTATGTGAGGTGTGGTGAAGACAGGAAGTCTTGTCTGTGGTGAGGGTACCTGTCCTCAATGGTGTGGGTGAGATGGATTCACCAAGAGCAAAAACATATTACCGACTGCTCTGTGCAGTTCTGCATCGTATGCATTGCCCTCTCTGTCTCCAGATGACTCTCTCACTAAGAATGACAAGGCAGGCCTCAGCCTCCAAAGACACCACCACTCCTAAGAAGCCTCCGCAACTCCTGCCACCCAGTGGCACCATTAGCACAACCTTGGCACTTCAGGTTTCCTCAAAATGTGTAGTATGTATCCAATTCACAAATCTCAAATCCCTAGCCTTTAAGAACCAAATCTTGGCCTGGCCATGAGACAGCCTCCTGGATACTGAGTTAATGGCATTAAACACTGGCTGAGTCATCAAGTGGCCAATTAACAGAACAGATGAACAACTGTGAATCTTTCTGGGAGTCAGGTGGCACAGGCTTCCAGCAGTGCCAATCCCTCCCAGTACATCGTCCAAGGCTCACTGATTCTGTTTTGAAAGGAGATGCTAACCAAATTGCTTGTATAGACAGATTTATTCAAAGAGACAAATTGGTAGTTAGATAAAGTATTATTTTTATAGCAGTAGAAAAAGGCTTAAATTTTGCTTGTAGTTGGCAAACCTTAATGATATCCAAATGTAAAATGTTCTCTCTGCTTATCTAAAGGAACACAGTGAGTAAAACCGGGGCTCACTCTGGTTCTATTTCTCTCCTACAAGTGAAACTCTGGTCGATTCTTTTTCTTTGTGCTTGGGAAATCTCTGCTGCAGTGTTCCCTGAACACAAAGCAGACCTGTAACTGCCATTTCACCCCACTCCAGTCCTGAGCTCTCTGATCTGCACGTCACCCTCACCAGCTCATCGGCCCCCATAGCCCTGGCTCTACTATCTCCACTATCACACACGATCCTCTCTGCCGTCCAGTCACCCTGTTCCATGCATCTGTTTGTGGAAAACATCAATAATTCCCAATAACTGAGTGTGACATCACCTTAAACTCCATGGTTTTGCTTTTCCACACCATATTCCTTCCCTACCAGGTGGGGTGGAAGGGGGCCTCACAGACAGTATCATTGAAACTGTAATGATTCCACAGTCTGTCCCTGAAAAATCCAGGCTACAGGGTTGAGAGGACTGCTCAGTCGGTCGGCAAAGCACATGCTGCAGAAATCTGAGGACCAGAGTTCAGATTCCCAGCATCCATGTAAATGCAGGTGAGCATGGCGGACTGCTAGTAATCCCAGCATCCAGAAGACAGAGACCAATGAGCCCCAAAGTCAGCAGGCTAGTCAGATTAGTAAAAAAGAACAAGTTCTGGGTTCAATGGGAAACCTCCCCCAACATATAATGTGGAGAACAATTGAAGAAGGCACCTGACATCATATTCTGAACTCCTTGGGCATGTGCACACATGTGCAAGTACACACACACATGAAAGCACTCACAGTCATGTATGTACACATAAAACAAGATACACACTGAAACATACAGGCTCCTGCTTAGGTAAAGCATCTATAATGTGTTGGCAGGCATTGAAAGGCAGGGACTGTGCCTTGCTCTCAGACACCAAGTCGTTCTTCAGGTCCTATCAAGGGCTCACTTCTCTCCAGTGGTTCCTGAGTTGGGAGCTGCCCAAGGGACCTCTGTCCTGTGCCAGATCCATTGTCTACACCTCTGCTTCTCTTCTTCACTCTCAGACTTCTTTTTAAATCCCTTGGTTTTGGAACCAGTCTTTGTCCTGCTGGGCCCTGCAGTCTGGATGTCAGCCCAGATGTTCCTCTGGCCTCAAGCTTCCACAGGCCTGGAGGTAGGCACCAGCTTTTGGACTTTGCTGCCCCAATGGCTTCTCCCTGTGTGTGTGTGTTGATCACTTAGTATTGCGATCAATCATTTCTCAGCTGGCTTCTCCAAGCCTCAAGAGTAAAGGCAAAGTCAACCCCTCCCCCCTTCTCCCCTTGGCCTATAGCTAGATGCCAATTGGGAGAGTTGGCCAAACAATCAGTGACAGGTTTAGCTATGACCTTACTAAAACAGAGTTTGCAAGCATCAATACTTCCTGTCTCTTCACAGTAGCATGCAAAGACCAAATAGCCTGGCATGGTGCAGTGAAGAATTGAAGGCAACATTGGAGTAAAGTTCCTTTGATGCTACATAAAACTATATATCAGGACACAGTGGTAAAAGAGAACAACAGTTGTAGAACCCAACCCAACCTACTCCAGGCAGTGGTAGAGTTCGCCTTTAATCCCAGCACATGTGAGGCAGAGACAGGCAGATGCATGTGAGTTCAAAGCCAGCCTGGTCTACAGAGCTAGTGGGTCAACTAGGGCTGTTACACAGAGAAAGCCTGTCTTCAAGAACAACAACAACAAGAACCCTACCTACAAGTCCCAAGGACCTATGTTCTCTGTCATCTTCCATCAGTCCCTCAGTGGCTAACAGTGGCCTTGGATGGGCCTTGTTAAGCCAGGCACCTGCAGGGAACACAGACCTCTGTTCATGTGGACAACCATGGTCTAATTAGTAAGCCTGTGGGGTGGGAAGGTTTGAGACCCCTGGAAGGAAATTATGGCTTTCATGGGACTCCCCACCCCACCCCCAAATACCTCATCTAGGAAAGAATATTCCCTCACAAGCTATTCTTCATCCACTTTCACCTCTAACAAAGAAGTCCTCCTTCCCTTCCTTTCCCTTCCCTTCCTTTCCCTTCCCTTCCTTTCCCTTCCCTGTCATCCTCTGTCTGTCCTACCATATCACTCATGGAAAGCTTTGTGAAATACACACACATCCTCAGGCACCATTTGTCCCCGGACCCAGCTGAATTGATGTCTGGGTGCATTCAAAGGTGTCCTCACCGAGCTGTCCCTCATGCTGGTGGCACTATGCTTTCCAGTGAAAAGGTCCCAGCTCTGGGCCTCACAAGCCCAGATTTCATTTCCCAACCAGCATTGGAAATTAAAGAAAAATGGAAGGAAATGTGCCCACGATGCTTTGTAAGGACGTGGTCTAAAAAACCCCGTGCCAGGGGCAGCATTGTTTTTCTTCTCTTTGTTTGTTTGGGGTTTTTTTCCACCCAAAACTAGAGATTTGTGGTTGAATGAAAGGACAACATTCCATGCCCACCTTTGGCTTGTTCGGAATGTGTGGTTAACATTCACGGAAGAGTCTTGTGTGTAAGTAGGTCAAAGCACAGTAAATAGAACTAACGGGGCTTCTGGCCTATGTTCTCTGAAAAGGCTTTTGTTCACTTATTTTATGCCTCAGCAGACAAACCATCTTAAGGCCAAACTTGGAATAATGTGGCAGGACTGTGGGCCATTGATGTACCACAGCCTGCTCAGGGGCCAAGCGGTTCCCTGTGTTCTGAGGAGGAGGAGGCACTGGCCTTGGAGGGTACCGAGTACCAGCCAAGGAGGTCACAATTGATCTGCCCTATGGAAAATATTTCCTTCTCTCAACCCTTATGAGCACCAACCCCCTGATTCTGCCTTCTGCCATGTCCCCCATCAACTCCCTCTTTGGCCCCCATATCCTCTCTGGCTTGGCTGTCTCCCTACCTGTAGTCTTTAACAATAGTGACCCTGGTTTCTTTGGTTCCTCCAAATGAAAAAAAGCACTTAGGGTTTCTGTTTAGCTGTGTCTGTAGCTGGAAACATGTATGGTTTTTTTGGGGGGGGTAGGA